AGAGTCTCGCCCTGTCTCCCAGGCTGGAGTGCAGTGGCACAATCTCGGCTCACTGCAGCCTCCGCCTCCCAGGTTCAAGCGATTCTCCTGCCTCAGCCTCCCAAGTAGCTGGGATTAAAAGTGCCCGCCACCACGCCCAGCTTTTTTTTGTATCTTTCGTAGATCCAGTTTTCATCATGTTGGCCAGAGTGGTCTTGAACTCCTGACCTCGTGATCCACCTGCCTTGGCCTCCCAAAGTGCTGGGATTACTGGTTTGAGCCACTGCGTCTGGCCTGTTTCTTTCTTTTTAATACCCAAACTGCATCGTAAATTCTAGATAAGCCAGTTTTCCAGTTGTTTAATCAAACGTCCACAAAAGGAGATTCTCTGATGAGATGAGGGGTGGGGCTGCTACGAGGTCACGGCTTCACTCAAGGGGCTTCACTCAAGGAGTCGGTGCAGACTTTGCGCAGGAGCACCTGCGGTGTGCCAGGAGCTGTTCTGGGTTGGGGACTAAGAAAAGCAGACAGACAGCTCTCCCTTCTGGAGCTTACATGGGGTGGTGGAAGGGGTTGTAACGTTAACAGTATATTTAACAAGTAGTGTTAGAAGGTGAATAGTGCCATGGACAAAAGAAAAAGAAGGCTGAAAGACGGGCAGGACTGGGTTGGGGACTGAGAGGGTGGTTTGCTGGATGGGCTACAGTGAGAGGGTGACATTTTAGCAAAGATTTGGAGGAGTGATCATGGGCTGAGTGGATATCTGGGGTAGAGTCGTCTAGGCAGATGAAAAGTCAGGTGCAAAGTAGGGTGCTATGGCATGGTGCCTGTAGTCCCAGCTACTTGAGGGGCTGAGGCAGGAGGCTGCCTTGAGCCCAGGAGTTCGAGGTTGCAATGAGCTGTGATTGCACCACCGTGCTCCAGCTTGGGTAACAGAGTGAGACTCTGACTCTACAGGGGGAAAGAAAAAAAGTCAGGTGCAAAGGCCCTAAGGCAAATCTGTCTGTTTGAGGAAGCAGGTGGGGCTGGAGAGGAGAGAAGGGGAGGGAAGAGTGGTCCCAGGTGATGTCAGAGAGGGTAAGGTAAGGAAAAACAGGCCAGGTAGGGCCTCTCAGAGTATTGTAAGGACTGAGGCTTTTCCTCTGAGTGAAAATGAGCAGCACTGGGTGCTGCACATGTCCCAGAAGAGAATACTGAGGCTTAGCTTGCTGCACAGGTGGTCGAAACTGCAGAGAGGCCAGGTCCTCCTCGAAGCTGGTGAGGTTTCCATGAAGTCTTACTCTTGAAAACTGATTGCTTTCTCTTTTTGAGGGGTGGGGATGGAGTCTTGCTCTGTTGTCCAGGCTGGAGTACAGTGGTGCGATCTTGGCTCACTACAACCTCCGCCTCCCGGGTTCAAGCAATTCCTCTGCTTCAGTCTCCCAAGTAGCTGGGACTACAGGCACATGCCGCCATGCACGGCTAGCTTTTTGTATTTCAGTAGAGTTGGGGTTTCACCCTCTTGCCCAAGCTGATTTCAAACTCCTGAGCTCAGGCAATCCGCCCGTTGAGGACAGATTTCTTACTGCAGGCCTATAAGTCTGCACAGCTGAAGCCAGGATCTGATCTGGCTTCCAGTCACTTCCCACTTTGCTGTGCTGCATAAGAACGGTTTTCTTGGAAAGCCAGGACAGTGGGTGCTATAGTTAACTGTCCATCCTTATCGCAGGTCAGTTGATGATTCAGATGCACTGGCTTTTTTTTTTTTTTTTTTTTTT